TGCGTGAATGCATGGAAATAATCTGGATAATAAAGACTTGGGTACTCGTTTCTGTCAGGTATCTGTTTACTCAGCTACCAGAGCTTCATAATGACAGTCAAAGCTTTGAGGGAATGCCAGATGCAAAACACACAAAAGTGCACCAAAAGATGATTAGTCCTGTTGCCTTAATTATGGAAGTGCAATTCACTCTAGAAACTGAAGACACTTGGCTGTTTTTAACTAACTATGTTTCTTTTTAAACTAAAAGTAAAAGATCATATTACAGGCATAAACAGCAAACAAACATATTTAGCTAGCAGATCACTGGACAGCTTTGATGAAATAATAAAGAATAATAAAAAAAACAATGGGAGTAAAGACTTTTAGACATTATTTTAAACATATTAGGAATTTTAAAAACTAGTCAGCTCTTATGAATCATTAGTCATGGATGTATGATCTTTTTTTTACCTTATTACAGACCATTCATTTACGTTACATTTATGTTTTTAACTTTGAATAGGCCTTATGTGTATATAGCCAATGTATTTTAACTTGTCACACTACCTCCTATTGTCAATAAAATCTGATCAAAGCACCCCCACCTTCCATCTCCACTGACACAAAATACTGGGTCGTGTGCTATAGAGGAACAGCACACACTGCCGCCTCCAGACAACCAGTCCTTGAGGATAAGCCGACAGATGTACCAAAAGACTGACAAAAAGGGTAGTGCCAGGATAAACTCCACCCGCTTTGGGACAACAGAAGGAGGACAGGATTGTCAAGTCACACTCCATGTGTAGAGCGGGATATTCGTCTTATATGGCTTAGCGATACAAACAACCTGGAGATCTGCACATGGAGCCAGAACAAATGAGTAGGCCTACATCCAAACACACAGTATGATGTATTTTACATAATGCTTGTGCAGGTCATTCAGAAAGGTAATACGTTCCATGGTTAGGAAAACAACTCTCTGACCTCCAACCCATATTCTGATGTGTCAGGGGCTCAGATTATATCATCTGCCTGTGTGACTGCCATCGGACAGATTTTGCTTAAATCATATCTTATTTCGTGTTTCTATCAGAGCCGCAGACTTAACGCATGTCCCTGAATCAGACTAGTAAGACTTGATGAAACGCTTTATGTATTAAATCCACAGGCCTATAACTGTGTGGTTGAATAAAGAAAATCAATAAACAGAATAAAACAAGCATTTATAGCACATATCTATTGACTGTTAGTTATGGATAATCATAAAATAGTTTTTAAAATATTACATTTTCATCTCTGCATTGTAGCAATAATGAATAAAAAGAGTAAGAGTGTGTAATTCACTCGCAGAGCAGTGATCAATCAAAGACAGAACACATCATAGACCAGACAGCCATGTAACACACAGTGTGCGTGTTTGTATATCCTACTAGACCATGCATCCATAGCCTACATAATACTAGCCATGTTTAGCCAATGCTGGCTCTGCTCATAGGTTCATTTTGTCTAACTGGCCACACCACTGCACACATACAGTATGTGATGCTGGTTCTTGGGAACAGTTGACAGTAGAAACAAATAGTGTGCATTTACTTAGTCATTGTGAAATCATCACTAAAGCAGCGTACTTGTACATAATATCTGCCACCTTTTGGTTAGCTATGGGCCACTTGAGAAAAGTAGGCACATATTTACATGGCCCTGCTGGAGAGATGTAGGTATGAGATTGCTATTTGAGTAACAAGTTTATCAGGTGCAAATGTACTGCATGTACAATTGTGTTTTATCACCACCTAAATTTACAGCACCAGGTTTTTTAAAACACTATCAGAACAGTTTTGAGAGGAAACTGTTGAAATCCTCTTTATCCAGTGCCATGACATTGTAGTGACCTTTTCACTTGCAGTTTTCCTTGGAGGGCTGGAAACGTGACTTGCTCTGACAAACTTGTGACTCAACTTAGACTCCTAAAACCTGATATTTACACTGAAAGCATAAAGTTGTGCCATTTTTGATGGGTTCAGAGCAAAAAGAAATACTGAGCTAACATAAAATATTCTTTTGGCTACCCACGAGGAAACAATAATGGTGTGTTAGTCTTTAATACAGCTGAGTTGGCTGACCTTTTGGGCTGTGCAACAGATACATGGAACCACTTAGCATAAAGTGTTATGAATTAATCTGTTTCTATTTATTTTATTCAGTTTTTTCCCCCAGTATGTTGCTATTTTTGACAGTTGTCCTCTGCAGTTACAGAAGAAAGCTGTGCATTACACACTGCTTTTTTTCCATCCCAAAGCCTCTCTGTGGGGAGGACTAGATGAAAATCACACAGAAAAACCGACGTCACATGTAGGCAGCGCCCACATGAGAGTCAGGAAAAGGGGCTTTATGGAGGAAAAAGCAGAACTAGCAAAACTCAAAGTGAAGAAAAGCGGCTTATCTTTTTTTTTTTTTTTTACTCCCTGACTCTTCTTATTTTTTATTCCTTCTCCCGGTTCCCATGGTAGTGCTGTGCATGAGCACCTGACTCACGGTAGCTCTCTGGGCTGTGGGGGAGTTATCAGTGAGCCATGCCAGATGCCCTCTCTCTAGGTAGCTGGCTACATGCAGTACTGTACTTCTTCTGCCTCTTCCCACACAAACTGTCCACTGGGTTTCTTACACAGACACACCGTAGAGCCACAGTGTGTGTGTCTTATTTTTTTAACTGCAGGAGGCCTCAGGTGTCTTCACTAGATCGCAGTGTACCTGACATCATCAGGTCAATGACTCGAGGTTGAAAGAAAATAAAATAATGTGTTCCAGCTCCTGATCCCACTCACCTGCATAAGAGATGTGGGTTGTTTTTTCCCCACTTTTCATGTATTCACATTTTTTAACCTGTTGTAAAAATGAATGAAATTCAAATGCATATTAGACATACTATTAATGCGCAGACTCTGCAACATCAGAGGGTAATGAAGTAAAACAACTGCTTTAAAGTAAGATGTTGCACTGGCAGGCTAAAGCACTGTGCAGAGAGCAGATGGTGTAATGAGATATACTGTAATAACGATCACACGGTCAGAGCTTCTGCCTGCATGAGACTCCACTTACACAGTGGCACAGAAATCATCATGGTTGATGTATTTTCTTTGAAATTGCTGCATTGTAAAATTACAACCAAAGCATCCAGGGTCATAGTGTACTGGGGTTCTGCCTGAAAGTTCAAAGCTATGCATTTAAAATGAAGCTTATTGGAATCTTGTATTGTCCGCTGCCATGGGCTTATTTGGTACACCGTAACATGCATAAATGGGCTTGCAGGGCTCAGTTGTTGCACCACAGTGTGATCAGTGCCAGTGTTAAGAGTTTAATTCACACAGAAGCTACCCAAGCTAAAAATATATACACTCACTGTACCGTCAGATGATTTGGTACAGCACTGTACATAATGTTCGTTCTGTAGCATTAAGAAGCACTCTCTGGTCTTGGGGTTCAAAGGTGTGCTTACAGTACAATAGATTCTCCTGAAAAGTCTGACCTGATTTTTAGTTGTCATATAAACAGCCCGCAGAAATCACACAAATCCTGTTCAATTACGTAAGTCCCTGTTGTGTAAGGGAGGTGAACAAAGCCCATCAAGCGTGACGTGAGGATGCTCTTTCTTCAACACTTCCCCTGTGTTGTTGGGTAAACAAATGCATATAAACAGTCTATCTAACTGCATCTATAATGACATATTTTGAAGAGACAAAACAGGTAAGATGTTTAGGTGTGTGTACATCTGAGTAATGGAACATAATGGAACAACGTGGACTGTCTGTCTATGTGTGGCCCTGCGATGGACTGGCGACCTGTCCAGGGTGTACCCCGCCTTGCACCCGATGTCAGCTGGGATTGGCTCCAGCCCCCTGCGACCCTGTACGCAGGATAAGCGGGCGGATGGATGGATGGATGGAACAACGTGGACCATGTGCTTGTGGGCCTTTTTAAACACGAGGAGGGTGTGAAAAAGGATGGCCTTACAGTGTGAGCCACTCCACACATAATGGATGGCATTTAGAACTAAAATGATGAGCTTTAAATTTGCTGAAAAGGATGTTTTGTTTTCTGTCAGATTGGATATCAGTGGCAAAAAAAAATCAGTTAGCACCAACAATTGACAATTCTAGTGAACTAAATATGAGTGTAGGCGTATGATTGTGGTCTCACCCTGCAAACAGGATTGCCCTCTGTATCAGCAATATGCAGGCAAAACACAGATTTAAGCAGAATAGAACACACAGCTGAGCTAATGTACAATAGCAGAGTGTGCAGGGAAGTAAAAACATCCCTTCATAGCTGTGCCATAAGGTCTCCTAGTATACCCGCAGACGCCAGCGCAGTACATCTGTACAGAGGTAGCTTTCTTAATCTAACCTTGAGGAGAAGGTCTACATCACTATTCAAAAGACAAAGCACTGCACACAAGTATGCATCACTTGAAATGTTACCTTAATAAAAGAACATTCACAGCACAATACTGGAATGTGGCATAGATGGAAGATATTATTATTAGTAGCAATAGCCTACTATTAATTGTTGTAGTAGTATTATAACATTTACTGTAGGGATGTACATGTGATTTAAGTACAACAAATGTCTGATCTCAGTTGATGAACTGGACCCTGTCATAGCTGATGTGCCAACACATGAATAAGCCTAGTTTATTAATGCCAAAGGCACAACTCCATTCATGTCAACACTAACAGAGGGCCATGCATACAGAGAGTATAAGCCACATCTGTCACCAGCAGCAAAGGTATGTTAGTCAATCTCAATTATTAGCATTGTGTAATTTTCTGGTCTTCCAGATGTTCATACTGTACATGAGTTCCCTAACACGTGCTAGTGCAGTTACGATTACCCCAGGCACTTGAAGATGGGCTGCTGCATGAATGCAGCATGTGCAGTGCAGTTGCATACTTAATATATACTATGAGGCTCCATCTAGTGGTGGATAGAGATAAAATGAATGCCAAAAAACAGCTCAATGCAGGTTCACTCAGGTCATATAGTGATTTCCATACAGTAGATACATGAGCCTGTTTGATAATGCATGTGAACATAATGTTAAATGAGAATCAAATAAAATTCCTCTTAATTAAAAATGTATTTCATTCTGTACAATAAAAATGTCCAGCAGCACCAATACCACAAAAAAGATTAAATAAATTAAAAAACAACTGATGTGAGATTGAATAAAATACAAGTAGTACTTATAGTCCAAGAAATCTAAAAGTAAAGTGAAATTCATCCAGCTAACTGCGTTGATCAGGTATGGAATTAATTCATGTTCCTTTGATCACAAAATTACACTGAAGTTCACAAAAATACCCATTGATTCCAACAAACCTCTACAACGTAAAGAGATTTTTAGTTCAGTAATAATATTCACACTTGTAAAGCATAAAAATGAATCTCAAAATTTGATGAGTGTTTACAGAAGGAAATTATCAAGGCTGATCAATTAGTTTTACAGCTCAATGATATGCATGTAATCTCTGGACAAAAACAAAAGTGAGCTATAGATCTGAAATGCTTGATTCCTATGGTGTGACAGTTGTAAGCCCACACTATCAGATGGCCCTAAAAGCAACATCAACACATTGGCATTATCAAAAATCGGATGAAATTTGTTCGCTGGATTATCACAAACAGACAACTCGGTCGCCACATGAGTAACAGAACTAAATTTGAAAGTCATGATTCAAAACCCATAAAAGTTACACACCTTTAAACATTATGAAAAATGCTGAGCAACATTGTTCAAGTTTACTACATGACAAATAGAACATAGGCTGTTTTTAAAAAGCTGTTAAATCACTTTTATGTCTGTCACTTTAACAAAATTCAAGGTGCCAGGGAGATCCACATTCTTCAGAGCATCCATGTCACCAAATGATGACTTAATGCACCAGCGACATGTCTTGTATCCTGTGTGTCACTGCAGAAGGCACATTAAGATCTGATCTGGATCGGATGATCCAGACCAAATTCAAATAAGATTTGGCGTACAATCATTTACTGGATTAATTGAACTGGAAATGTGCGCATCATAAATGTGGATGCAGGTACAAAATGGCTCCTGAATCCTCCAGTCTTCTTAAGGCTTCGGCTTCATGTTTGATGTCATGGTAGGAATTCTGCAACAGAGAGAAAGACGAGCATCAGTATTAAGAGTATTCTAAACAGATTCCATTTGAAGTACTGTACATAACTGACCCACCTTCATAGATTTTATTGTGTCATAGCCGTAGTAATGGATAGGTTGCTTTTGGCTGTTTGAGGTGGGGTATCCAAAACCAGCAATATGGACCACATCACAGTAGTTGAGAGCAACAAACCACAGCGAGGATGCCCGTGGTAGGATGCACTGGCTTCAATGACAACAAAAACTTAATGACAGCTCACTGCAATAATCATGTCTCCTGACAAAATTTAAAGCCTATGTAGGATGTAACTTTCACACAATATGTGACACATAGTGGTAGCACCAAAATTTTTTT